CAGAGTCATATTAATTAACACGGCTGGGTTCAGTGATCATATTTGTCCAATATAATTAAATGTTATAACTGTAAGCATTTTCATCCTTTCTTTCTGTTCCTGTTCCTTTCACCTTGAGTGATGGTTGTTCCTGTTATCAAAATCTATTATCAAGAGAGTTGCAATGTGCTGCTGGGTTATTTGTCAATGCCTGGCTTTATTTTTGTAAAGAGGTATTGATTGCAGGATAATAAATATTTAGTTTAACAGGACTTGATCGGGAGCAAAGGGCTACCTGAAATTAGATTAATTTAAATTGTCTACTGTGAGGCACAACCCAGAATTCTCCTATTGTGAAAGACATGTTGCTAGAAATATTCAGTAGTAGGGTACCCTGAGATATTTCAGCTTTCTGAGTCCCACAGTTCATTGTTTTTGCTAAATTTGCTGATGTTGATGGAAATCAGATTCCAAAACAGCCATTAGGCCAATCACAATATATTTTATTAATTTTTATAATTGGTATTTTTTCAGAGAAAATATTACTGTAGTAGGGTATGTCCAAAGATCACATATCAAACAAATAAGGAAATATTTAGAAGACAGTGCTGGTTTTGCTATTGCATTTAACATTCATACCAATTCTCTTGCAGAAATTATAAAGATTAATGTTGAAAAAGAGAGGAATAGCAGACTTACAAATAAATACTGAAAAACTAACAGAAACCAACTTATCTGATCCCTCGATTTTTATATCTACCTCTTTCTGTTTGGATGTATGGAACATGTTTAACAGTGCTACTTTGTGTTTTACATGTCAGCAGATGAAGATTTCATCTCTTAAACCGTAAATTTTATAACTATTTCCATTTGCAAAATCTTCTAACATTTGGCGTCTTGTATGCACCTTTTCCAAATTTGCATAGTTGTTAATGTGAATTGCTTTAAGGACCTTTTTTAAAATGCAAATTACTCTCATTTTGTTCATTGATAGATCCATTTCCATAGTACTGTATTTACTATGACTTTCTCTACTAATGTAACCTTTTTAAAAAATTTGATTTAGATTCTAGTTTCGGTATGTATGACTTTTCAGATTTTTCTCTCTCTCTGCAGGGCCTCTAAAAATCAGGGAGAGAAGGTTGCCAACTAGATTTGTTTTAGTGCTAACCTATAGGTCACTTGGAAGTCCACTGAAAGAAAAATGCCCAGATTTGCTCAGTAGGATCCATAATTATTTGTTTTATCATACTCTTTGATATTGTGTTGGTATGCATTTCTTGAATGGATGGGTAACATAGCTTAGTTATTGGCTTTATTGTATCTGTTTCCGTTACACATACAGGTAGTTCTCACCTTACGACCACAATTGAGCCCACAATTTCTACTGCTAAGTGAGCCAGCTGTTAAGTGAATTTTGCCTCATTTTAGGACCTGGCTTGCCACAGTTGTCAAATGAATTACTGCAGTTGTTAAGTTAATAACACATTTGAATCTGGCTTCCCCATTAACTTAGCTTGTCAGAAGGTCGCAAAAGGTGATCACATAACCCCCGAGACCCTGTAACCATCATAAATATGTGTCAGTTGCCAAGCATCTACATTTTGATCATGTGACCATGGGGATGTTACAATGGTCGAAAGTGTGAAAAACAGTCATAAGTCACTATTTTCAGTGCCATTGTAACTTCAGTCACTAAATGTACCGTTGTTATTCAAGGACTACCTGTACATTACATTAAGAAAGATGAGAAAGTTCCTTATCTCTTAAGTATTCTTTAAGTTTGCCATATCTGCACAGTTGATGGTTTTTACAGGTTCTGTCAGTTTAAATTAGTACACATAGATGAAGTTCTTTTGTCAAAAGCTGTTGAACAAAACTTTAAGTCAGACACCTTTAAAATAAATGATCCTATTTGATACTGATGATCAGTGCTGGTTTCCTAGCTTTACTTTGCCAGAGGCCTAAGTAAACTGATCTGAATTCTCTCCTCTTGTTCAAATACTCAGAGTTATGCCTCCAAAGGAGAGCTTCTTACATTAAACCTGGTAGGTGTATGTATGCACACTCACAATATTTTTTGCACAATTTGATTTACAAAGATAAAAACAAAGTTATTTGAAATTCAAGGTAGATGATGAGTTTTGCGCTTGCAAATTATATACAGAGAAAGAGAGATCCCATTCAGAAGATTTGTCCTGAGACCAGACCTTAGTGAAATAAAATTTAACTTTGACATGAGGGAGAAAAAATAGCCTGTGTTGGGTTTGCTGTTGGGAAGTATTGTAGCTTACAAAAACACCTGTTTCAAGCTTTCTCAGAAAACACTAGATGACGTGGTGCATGGTGCTTGAGGTTTCTGAAATCTGTTTTTCAGGAGATACAGGAAACATAATTTTGATGGAAAATGTGCAAGCAAGATTCCTCTGTGATTGCTTTCTTTTTCCCTGATTGTTTTTACTTCGCAACTATAAGAACCTTGAATTTTCCAGTAAACGATAAGTGAAGGATATATTTGTAGGGGAAGATGGCTGAATATGACAGATTTAAGAATGGCCACATATAAATGCCACATTTGCCTTGCAAATGCCCCTTGTCAATTTACAATAACCTGTTATTAGCTATTTAGGAATTACATCCATTTTGCTTAACATGCTTTTGTATCCTAACCATGAGAGGGGAACCTCAGCACTGGTTTTAATGGATTTAAGTTTTGCAGAATTCCGATGGTGTGAAATATTGCACATTTCTTATATTCAAAGCTTTTTGTAACTATCCTTTTCAGCATTTGCAAAATTATAAGATAGTAACAATACATTTTAATTGGCTAATTTAATTAGGTCACTAAATTTCTTTTATGGAAATTTATTTCCATATTATTTCCCATTTTAAACATTCACACTTCCAAATATTTATGTGAGGTTTGCTTCACGTAAGTCCTGTCTCCTCTGTGCAATTCTCCATAGTTTACAATGTGCATAGGTGTTTCATTTAATCTCTTATAATCTGCCGCTAAAGACATCTGCTTATATATCACTGTCTTTGAGATCTTTTTCTGGCTCATATTTTGGTCTCTTGGTTACTGCTATTATAAATTTATTATCCAGTATGATTTATAACACCATAGCTTGTGCAAATAATGGCTTAATACCAAGAAAGCTTTTTATATTCTGTTATAAAATTATATGTCTAAGATTTGATACAATACTGTGGGTATTTCATAAAATTTAGGTTATAAGCATCAAATATATTTGAAACTCATGGCAGCCCACAAAGAAGGTGTGTGTGTGTGTGTGTGTGTGTTGTGTGTATTATGAAAAAGTTAGAGCTTTCAGAGAAAAATATTACATAAGTTCTCTCCCTCCCTCCCTCCCTCCCTCCTAAAGTTCTAACCTTTTCATGATGGACAAAGGATTATGGATCCTACAATTCGAGAAATGGAAGATCTTGTACTTTTCAGTGGAGAAAGAAAATTCTTTGCATTGACTGAATGAAAGAACCACTTCACCACTAACTGGCTGATGGGGATACAGGAATATGTGCACTTAATGGTTGTCATTAGGATTGTAAAGAATGATACTGGAAGGAAATAAATTTAGAAAATAAAGTATGACAATTTAGTGATATTTTTTATTACAAAGAAACTTCTCTCTACCCTCTATTTTTTAGATAAATAGTTTTGTCATATCACATATGTTTATGAGCTCAGCGGTTTGGAAATAGCTCTGTTGTCATTCAACAGCTGCTTTATGATTAGGCACAGATAATAAGGTAATTATCACTGTCTGTGCTTTCTTCATTTCATCTTTCTTTGAACTTTCTATTTCTAATTACCCCTGCTTAACCATTAATGTATCTATAATGCTTTGAATTTCATACAGAGTTGACTGTTCTCCATGAAAAATTAAATTTATTGAACTGGTCACAAAGCAGACATAGCTGACTAGGTAGCTCTACGTAGGCTGCCATATTTTCTATTTCAGATGTATTTGGTCCTCAGATGATCAGGGCCTGACTGTTACAAATGGTAAATTCAGGAGATGATTCCCTGCTGTCTCCAGTAGGACTACAGTACTTCAGTTGTAGTAAGGCAGGATGCATTCTCTGAAGTGGTTCTTCCTTTCTGAAGCACACTTAACAACTGTGGGGGTTTCTGCCAGAAATTAAAAAATAAACATAATTATTCAAATGTTTCTCATCCTTGAAAATCAGCTGCTCTCATTATTTCTTTTTACCTTTTAAATTCTTGGGACCAGGTTGTACTTTGTTTTTATTCTGTATTTTGTTATTATAGTTAAAAACATTTAAGCAAATATAGCTCTGCAAGTAAAAACAAAAAACCGGTGATAGCAATAATAATTTATTAAAGTTTTATGCCATCCAACTTTTTGCCGATTTGTAATTTATCGGCCGGTAGCCTTGATGGGTAGGAAATCAGTAGTAATTCTCACTTAACCACAACAATTGGGAATGGGAAAGCCTGTTGCTAAGTAACATGGTCATTAAGCAAGACATTTGACCTCAATAGAGTAAGGAACTGACTTCTGCTATGATCATTAAGCAAATCACCTGAAGTATAATTGTGACTTGCAATTTTATTGGCGTCATCTCCATTGATTCTGCTTGTTTAAAGTTGGCTATGAAGCAGTTCAATGACAATCATGGGATACTTATTGGTTGTAAATGCTCTCTGTTTGCAAAATACTCAAATCTTTTTTATGTGGCCACAGAGATGATGAACAGCCACAAGTGTGAGGAACAGTGCAAAGTTATTTTTTTCAGGATTGTTGTAAACTTGTGTGATCTCATGAAACAGTGCAGTTGTTAGGAAAGGACTACCTGTATGGGTTTTTGAAATTCTAACCATCTGATGGGCTTTTGGTCGAAGGGGATGGATGCAGGGTAAAAAGTCTTAACTCCCTCTTCTACATGATTGTCTTTCAATGGCAGTAGCAGTCTAGGTCTTAAGTGTCACACTTTGGAACTCTGCTTAATTTTGTCACTTGCTTTTTTTTTTAAAGCGTGAAAAGCTGGTACATGAGTTGGAGGAAGAGCGACATTTGAGATTTGAAAGTGAAAAAAGACTACAAGAAATGACCCTGGAATCTGAGCGCCACAGGGTTCAAATGTGTGGACTGCAACAGCAGTTTTCAAGGTAAGCAACATTTCTGAAAAAATTACCTGATCTAAATATGTACATACGCATATATACTTGAATATACAAACAGTTGATATTGTAGTCATAATTGTTATTATTTTTTTAAACTTGATCTGTTTCCTTGTCCAATAGAGACTTGTCTTGCAAATGGCACGATTGTCTCCAAGTTGCAAGGCTATGTTCTTGAATCCAGTTCAGTTTCTTAATGCTCTGGCAGCCAGTATATATCAACCAAAACAGTTTAGCTAGACTTACATTTGCAGCATCATGTATCATACAGTACCTGTAATTTGGGAATGACTTTAGAAGATCCTTAGGAATTTGTATGTGTGTGTGTGGGGGGGGGGAATGCTAGTAGGAAATGATGAGATAAAAGAGGACATAGCCCATAGCTGCAAAATTGAGTTATCAATAAAGACATTGATAGTTTATTACTGTATTAAGAGACACCAGCACAAGCTGTTTCCCTCTTATCATCAAGGTATATTCAGTTCATATGAAGAGAAGTGGTCACATTTGGAAAATCAGGTCCCAGTTTAACAAGCCAGTGTACGAATTTCTGTACAAAAACACCAGCTTTCTTCAAGCAGGATGCTAAATAAAACCAGGAAATCAAACGTTGGCTTTATAATGTTTGGAAGGCTTTTATTAGTTTTTTTTACTTTTACTTACAGAACTTGCATGATCACCTATCCTATCTCACATTTATTTTTCCCCACTTCAGATATAACAGGAAACGTAATGAGCTAGTACATGTTCCTCACATGTGAAGTGGGAGCAGAGAGGTTGTATGTGGTTTATTCTATTATGAGAAAATGATAAAACCATTTAAGCTATCATTTTAGAATACATCCTCTCTTATTCATTTATTATCAGCTGAGCAGTACTTAGCTTGAGATAGATAAAAAAATATTCACATAAACCTACCAGACTTAAAAATGGCATAACTGTTACAGGTAGTTCTTGCTTAATGACCAGACCAGCCTGAAATTTCAGTCATTGAGTGAAGCAATCATTAAGCAATTGATGCGTAGCAGGGAATTCCGTGGACCTCACCCCATTCTTAACAGGTCCTTAAAGGGGGCGTGCATAAGTGCACCAGCATGCCTACCATCCCTGTCTTACTGTCCCCGTTTATCTGTATTTACTTCCTTTGTTCTTGTTTATGTTCATACTTACACTTGTTACCTTGTACATGTTTGACAAACAAACAAACAAACAAACAAATGCTCGGGAGGCTCCAACAATGCAGCACAAAGCAGCCTGCCCCCAGCAAAGGGGTGGATGTATGGGAAACAACCACAGAGTTCAAGGAAAATTCAACATGATTCTTAACAGAGATTTACTTCCACAGGATCTAAGTATCTGCTTGGTGGTTTTAACCCATTGGAATGCAAGTTGGAACATTTTATTTTAGGATTGATGGTGTTCTGCACAGCCTTGTGGGAGCTTTGCTCAATTTACAGAGGCTTGGGAAAATGAAGGCAGCTTCCCCCCCCCCAAATTTTTTTTAGCATGCAGCCAGCTCCAACGTTCCAGCCCTGTCCTGAGTGCAGCAAAAAGGGGCGTTTTAGGATGCAGCAAACAAGTGGCTGCCTTTAACATTTATTCTTCCATCTTATTCTCCTATGCAGCAGCCTACAGCACCTGCTCCTCAGCCTCTCTAGCAGTACCTTATCTGCAACCTCTGGTACTTACTTTATCTGCAGTCATCTCAAAGAAGAATTGTCTAGGTGTTTTATAGTGTTTTATAGTGTCATTTGAATAAGGATATGAACTAGAATTAGATGTTTTGCATAGACACGTTCTGTGAAACCCTTATGGTATACCCACACCCACACACGCACACTGCGTAATATCCAGACAAATGCTCTGTTGTTAGAGTGGCAACATTGTTTTCTTTCTATCATTTCAGTTTTCATGTTAGGCCAAGGGAAGCCATAAAAGACATTATTATATAATAGCCCATCTGCAAACAGTTATGGAGGCTTCTCTAGTGCTATTTCCAACTGTGAAAACATTATAGTAAAAATGGCACTCTTGGTAAACACCTGCAACTGTTGTTGGGTGATGAGATTACTTTGAAAAAAATGCTTCACTGGGATCAGGAGACTTATTTCCAAGTTAATTTCCATACGATTGTAGCCTTGCAGTAAAGTGTTGGGAGTTTTATGAGTGAGACTATCTGTGAAAAGTAGATTTAGTGTACAGATAGTCCCTGACTAACAACCATTTGTTTAGTGATTGTCTGGAGTTACAGTGGCACTGATGGTTGCTGTACAGCATCCCATGGTCATGTGATCAAAATTTAGACGCTTGACATATCATATTTATGATGGTTCCAGTGTCCCGGGGACATGTGGTCTCCTTTTGTGACCTCCTGACAAGCAAAGTCAATGGGGAAGCCAGATTCACCTAACAGCCATGTTACTAATTTAACAACTACAGTGATTCACTTAAGTACCGCAGCAAGAAAAGTCGTAAAATAGGGCAAAACTCATTTAACAACTGTCTTGCTTAGTAACAGAAATTTGGGATGCAATTGTCATAAGTCGAGGACTACCTGTAGTGGTGATTACAGCCTGATTAACAGGACCCAGTGAATGAAATGTTGAAGTGATTCACTCAAGGCTATAGGCAGTCCGACAAATGTAATGCAAAGTATTTTAATTCCTATTTCAGTATGTTTTGGCTTTCCTGTGTTCACACTACCTATTAAATAGGGAATTATGCTTGTCTTATTAAGTGTGAACATGATCATTGTGAGTTTGGCAATGCTGTACACCAGGGGTCTCCAACCTTTTGGACCTCAGGGACCACCAATCTCATAATTTTAGATCCCAGGGACCACTAACCGGTTCTGTGGGTGTGGCCTAATTTGTGAGTGTGGCTTGGTGGTCATGTGACTGGCTGGGCATGGTTTGTATGTAAATATTATAAATATTTATATAAATTGATTTTTTTATAAAAAAGAGCAACCCAAAATCAGGCAAAGCAGGCAGATTGAGTTGCTCACAGAATCACAGATTCATTCAGAGATCTATCTATCTGCCATTGGCTAGCTCAGTCTGTCACATAAAATTTGCTTGCAAGCAAACTCACAAAATTAATACACACACCATGCATGTAAATATTGAATTTTTTTATAAAAAAAGAGCAACTTTTACCCCAAATCAGGCAAAGCAGGCAGATTGAGTTCCTCACAGAATCATTCAGTGATCTATCTATCTGCCATCAGCTAGCTCAGTCTCTCAAATTTGCTTGCCGTGAGTCTGCACTGAATTTGCTTGCAAGCAAACCTTCAGTCCTAAGGGAGATTCGGCTGTGCTGAGCCGAAGATCTAAAGACTAGCTAGAAAGCAAGAAATCCAACCATTTCCTGCTTCCTAGCTAATCTAAATCTCCCGGCACAGCAGAACAGATGATGGTAGGAAAAAGGGAAAATAGCAATTTAGCAGGCAAGTTTACCAGGTAAGGAGTGAATGGGTGGGGAGGGTTCTGGCAGGCCATGTGGGCGGCGCAGCCTTGTGTTTCTGCACAGCCTGGATTAATTGCTTTGTGGGGGTGCTCTGGGAGTGAGATTTCTCTGCGGCCCACCAAAATTTCCTCACGGCCCACTGGTTGGCGACCGCTGCCATACACAACATGGAAGCTGGCGTCAGGTGAGTCCTCTTCTGACTCAGTTGTTCTGAGTTTGGTTTATAATGCTGTGGCATTCTGTCAGCTTAACAATGCAGAATTGAGAAAAAGTTTTCAAATCCATTGATATTTTTCATTCCTCATTTTATCAGACTGGCCAATAAAGCATTGCCTTGTCTCTTCATCAGATGGAAGGCTAATAGTCACTCATGCAGGGTTACTCTCAAATTCATTTAGAATTTCAGTTCTACACGATAAAAGTCAACTATTGCTACTAAAACTAATGTCAGAACACAGGCTGAACTAGTGATCCTTTGGTACAGGTTTGGCAAAACAGATTGTGACACCATTCCTGGGACCTGCCCTCCTTTTACCAGGCCCATCCATTTCAAATTATGGCAATGTGTCATGTTTCCTATTGGTTGATGATGCTGGAGAAGAGGGGAGTTTAAGTCAGGAGAACCCATCAATTACTGACATTAAATTGTCTCACCGTAAATCTAAAAAGACATGGCAACGTGCAGTCAGTTTAGAGCTTGGTCATCAGTGCAAATTATGAAGACATACTTTTCTTATGATCCAAAGAACTAAAGACATGCCATGCCTGGCTAGTTTGTGTTTCAGTGCGTCCTCAGAAGTCAAACAATAATGGAAGTATGACTGTCGGACCTGAGCTGCAAAAATCCAGATGATCATTAGGTGAGAACAAAGACAAACCATGGCCACCTGGTTTCGCTAGCATTTCCTGTTGTGTAGAGGCTGTTAGCAGCCCAGATCCCGTATCCCATAGTATAACACTCAACTCTCAATCCTCATCATATCACATACTGAGCACAGTGAAACTAAATTATAATAACCTGATCATTCTGAAGCATTTACATACAATTCAAATGTGAAGCAGAGCATAGACTTCAAGTACTTTCCCTTTGCAGTAAAAGTAATGAAATAATAGATCTTCCAGAACAAAGCAAATTGTAATAATGTTGATTTTCTAGGAATAAAATGCACATCTTTTAGACAGTATTAAAAACTAAAGCAATAGCATTTTTATTACTTTCAGAAATCTCTTCTTCTATGATCTATCTATATAATGTTTTTTAAAGCACATTTAACAGTAATACAGATAGATTTCCAGCATTTTAAAGAATTGCTGTGGCTGGCTTCCGGTTTGAGTTCCTTCGGCGACAGACAGAAATCTGCGATCCTGCGCGGTTTCGGTCTGGGCTCGCCGCTGGAGCGCCCCGAGCTGGCTGGTTTCGGGGCTAAGCCACCCCGTAGAGGTGGTGAAGAGGGGGGAGACTGCCTGCAGGGTTGAGGAGAGCCGCATCTCTCCTCCTCAGCTGGCCATTATTCCCTTTC